ATTTTCGCTAATAATGTATCTACCTATACAAAAAAAATGCAATAATTTTCATATTAAAAATAAAAGACGTACAATGTTTACTAAGGTATGCATCATAAAACACTGATAACTTATTCTATCTTGTCTGACCTTTTCAACATGCCGACCGTGAAAGAAGGGAAGGAAAAACGAGCGATAAATTGGAAAAGAATTCCTGACAAGCCAGCCAGAGAAAGCTGTCGCGTAAAATCGGTTCACCGAGCGACGATAGACGTTTAAACATTCTTTAGAAAACTCTCGAGAGAATCCTCTTCCCGACTGAAACAGCGACTCGAAGAACGCAGATAAGAAACAATTTCCTGCTTTCGATACACGTGATCCCTTTTCTACACTTCCATTTTCATCAAATTGTTTCACCAAAACAATCCTCGTTTTTTTTTTTCGTCCACACATTTTGTAGAAATCCTCTTGTCAATCAACTGGTATTCGTGATAACAGTTTTTTTTAAGATAATATGTTATAAGATATTCTCGTTATTATCTCTGGATCATTATTTATGATCCTAACTCATGATTATTTTTTTTGATAATGAATTTCTTTTTTTTTTTCTTCTTTTTTATTTTTGTGATTCTTGATATACATTCTTTGTTATACGATTATTGTGATGTATAATAATGTATTATCTATAAGATCCAATAAAATAGATATGTATTAAGTATAATTATTAGTAATTCATATAAATTATTAAAATAACTAGGAATAATTTTTATATATTTTTTTTCTCTATATTTAAATCTATTGAATAAGCTGAATTAAAAATAAATAATTCCTTTATAAATTTCAATTTTAAAAACTCGGAAATATCAAGAAAAATACCTTAATAATATATCGATATACGTTTTTTTGTTTTCCCTTATATCTTTCAATATCTTCTTATACCAACAAATTTTTTTCTGCAAATAAATAAATGAATGAATAACAAATGCAATGGCAAAGAAAAGATTAAAAAAGAAAATGTAATAACTCAAAGAAAAAAAAGAATCAGAAAGAGGTGGAGAAGCTGCTCGCAAAAGAATGGCTGGGCGGTGATAAGGATAAATTTCAAGAGATATTTTTTTCTTTCTTCTTCTTTAAAAGCAGTCAATCCTTTGACCTATCTGATACGCGACCTACGCATGATAACGGTCCACCTATTTTCCATTTTGTTTACTATATACCTATATCTTCGTCTCACCGTGAAACAGCACATCTATCCTTGTTCCTCCCACTACTCTCACTTCTCATATCGCCATCTTCCTCTTTTCTTTTTGGCTGTGTATTTATTATCTCTCTCTAACTTAAAGAATAACTCCCTCCTTGTCAATCGTTTTGGCCGGGCTCACGGTTGCTGTTCAACCAGCGGAAGCCAGCTAGACGGCTCGGAAGCGAGGTTCTCCACCTTCCTACTTTGTCAAAAAACCGTAGACACGACAAGGACGCGTGGTCTGGGATAGCCAATCAGAGCAAGGCTGTTCTTCTGGCCGCCGATCAATGCGAAACTCCTCTGTACCGACGTGTACAGGGTGTGCTCTTTGTCGGGAGAGAGAGACCCAGCCCAATCTCTGGCCAGCGGAAGCGAAGCTCCTGCAATTTCGACACTGTTGTCCAATGCAACCGCCATGTCAATTTGTATTGGAGACTGACCATATCGTAGTTTTCTTTTCTCTCTTTTTTTCTTTTTTTTATCGAATGACACCGAATGTCTCCTTTTTTTCTTTACTTCTTTCTTCATCGATTTTCGAGATGCAATACGATATATCTGCTTACCGGTATGAGTAGAATCGAATCTTGATTATATTTTTCTTGTTTTTTTTTGTTCATTGTTATTGACTTACGTGATAGGAACGCTGATGCGATTCTTGATTCGCGGACACGTTCATCGAAAAATATATTGCGTGTATTGAATTTCGTTTTTTTGAAGATGAAAGATGAACATTTAAATAAAAGAAGATCGAGTTTTGAAATAATTAGATTCGAATAATTACATCCTATTTGATCATTTGAAAATCCGTTTTAATAATGTTGTAAAAATAGAACATGTATTAATTTTTCAATTGACAAAAAGAATCATTTCCACTATAGAGTAATTCTACTCTTTTTTAGAATTTAGAAATATATGATTATTAAAAGTAAAGGTACAAATTATTAATTAAAAATGATTTCTTTATAAAATCCAGATTGACAACCATTTCACTAAATGAAATGGGAAATTTTCCTTCTTGTCCATCCTACAGAATTTCTTTCAGCAATTTATAACAAAATAAAGAACCTAATCTTATAGTTATATATTATATATTATATAAAGAACACTGTGCACTCCCAATGAAATGTCAAAAGTAAATACTACTTTTTCAAAATAATTGTCATATTACATTTTAACTCGGACGTCATATTTGTAAGTCGAAGAATCGTGTGGAATGATGAACGAGCAGTTCGTAAAACAGGAAGGACTAAAGATTACAAGGGAACTATCGCGTTGGTCCATTCGTCATATTCGAAAATTCCGCAGTCCTTTACCGTAGCCCCATCAAATTTTATTCCGGGTAATACGCAGCGGCAGCGTCGTTTGGAATACGTGACCTTTCCAAGCAACTGTGTATCCATCCAAATTGGATATCGGACGAAGTTGTTATCGGGTAAGAGCTGAGACTATGCGCTACCGAATGCGAAACCGAAAGAATCGAACGGATATTCAATTTACTTTCTAAACAAATGTATCCATAACATTAAAAGTTGTCGCAGTGCAACTGTTTTTTGCTTTCAGTTTAATTAAACGAAGAGTTTCGAAACTGACCACGTTAGTTATTACCTTGGACCTTGGCAAATATACGTAGTATTTGTTCGTTGTTTGTTTGAGTCATCCTCACCAGTTGATAGAATCTAATGAAGCAAATTTCACACCGATAAATTTCTTTAAATAGTTCGAATTGAGTTTTCACTAATTGTCGTTTTTAATAAAATGAAAATAGAATTTCATGATTCTAGAAAATACATACTCGTGTTCGTGGCTGATGCTAAACTGTGAGCTTATAACGAATATTGCAATTAGAAATAATATATCTCTCTTTTTCTAATTCGTTCAAATTCGGCTAGACTCGTTCGAATTCGTGTTTGTATAGTCTACTCTCCTATTTGAACCTAAGCGTCACTAGTAATAATTGCGCATATAGTTCTTCTTGCATATAGTTCTTCATCTAGTTAAAATTTTTTTTTTTGTTTTCTTTATATAAATGATTTATTTAATTCGTGTCATAATATATGTATTTTTAATTTTTAATAGTGAGTTCAATATCAAAGAAAATAATGCAATTTTTTTTATATGCTTTTTTTCTCTACGTGTGTTTAGATTATCTAGAAAAATTTTTTATGCTTCGTTCGCCATGTTTCAAACCTTACTGGTCGTTCGCTCGCTCGCTCGACGATTATTTCTATACCGTAAAGCAATTTCTGAAAAGCTATTTCCAAAGAAGTATTTTCAACGTGATGGTTTGTATAGATATGCGATTCTTTCTACTTTGCCTCAACTGATCTACATAGAAAGCCGAAATATTTTACCAGTTCTCTCGTTTTCCTCATGCGCGCGTCTCCGCTTGCCACATCACGTCTCTCGTCATGCAACTTCTTGACCTATCTGTTCCACAAAAATAGCCCGCTTCCTTCCCCTCAATTGTTCCTCGATGAAAACTGTTCTAAAAGTGGTCGAACACCTTCGTGCCACGGTTGATAACCGATTTCAAACGGTCTACGCTTTCATTTTCCTTTTCTTTTCTGTTTCTTTCATTATATAACGTTTTTTATTCTTTTTCTTAGGAAATTTATTTGCATTTGTAATTTTTGAAATTGAATTATTATTTTGAACTTTTACATTTTATTTTTGTTATTTTTAACGTGAATATTTTTCTTCAATGAAAGATAATTGAAAGTTGAGGTTATGTCAACAAGAAAAAAGTTTTCAAAGACATTGAAAAGAAATCATGGAAGTAAATGGTAAATTTCGAGAAAAGAAGATAAAGAAAAGTGATTTCTAGTATTATTTCATCTAATATTATTTTGATATTTGTTTGATATTTATTGCAGTTATTAATTTATTGCATTTTCTTTTTATTCAAAGTTTTGAATTAGTTTGGTAAATTCTATCAGAATAATATTTTGCTTTTCCTCATGAAAATTTGACGCAGAATATAATCGTAGATATCTGCCTTGATTAATATTGATTTGAAAAGACTTACCCATTGGATGCTGGACCGCCGAATTTTCGTTTTCGATAACGTTGATACACTCCACATCTGAAATAAAAAAACAAAATATTAACTCTAATACTTAAATCTTTAAATCTTATTAAAATGAAAAAAACATTTAATTATATATCAAAAGAATTTTTTTAAATTAATTAATATAAAATTGTAATATAACTAAACTAGATTTGAACAATTTAACAAAAAAAAAAATAATAATATATACTATTTCGATTTTTTCTTATTAGATATCTCCATTCGATAAAAATATATTTGTGTTTGTGATTGTGATCAATGAACAGCTTGCCATCATTCGTATAATAATCTGTGACGAAATTCTTTTGATTATTGCATATGGTTTTTTTTATGTAACAAATATAAATGAAAATATGAAATATTGCTGTATATAAATAAATAGCATACAAAAATTGAAAAAATATCAAGAATTAACAAAATCTTTGTTCGATTTCCATCTCAACATTAATTTATATAAAATGTATTTTTATAAAAATTTACAGATTATATATTCATTATTATTAAACAAATTTATTATTAAATATATAAAAATTTTCATAATATTGTAAATATATCTGTTTTTTCCATCAAATGATCATGACGAATGTACACGACATAACCTTTGAGGGAATTAAAATCTAATTCAAGAAGCTCGTTAAGAATATATAATTTTTATTTATAAACTTACAATGTTTGTTGTTCCGGCAGCTCATCTTCAAACAATAAATAATATTAATCATCGATTGTAACAAACGAAAAATATTTAATACGCGGGAAAAATCGATGTAATAAAATAAATTAACCAGATCGAGTACTAAACATTGATCGATGCTCGCTGACTCGATACATCGCAATATCGCATAGGCCATGAAGCGCGAGATGCGCATGCGTACATCAACTTGTTCATTGCTCTGATTCAACATGGCGACTTTGTCACTTTTTCTATCCCTACTCTGGCCAACTGTTCCTGTCAACTGTTACTAAATAATATTATACCTATTCAATTCAATCGAATATATACATTATTATATACACCATGAATATTTAGTATGCGTGCCGATTGTTACAAGGATGACGTGTCTTTTTTCGTTAATCTTGAAATTCTGATTCGTTGGCCGACAAGCTTTCTGGACAATAATAGAGAAAAACTTTCTGTGAAACAATTGTATAAGAACGGAAGGATATTTCATTTTTTGCGGAAAGGAGCTAATGGGTAAGAAATTTCGAATGACATAAAATTGCATGAGAGTTAAACTTATTTAATATTTCAAGTGATGTTTGTAAATGTAAAAATAAGATGTAATATCGGAAACTATAATTTATCTTTTATTTTTCTTATGACTATGTGCGTCGTAATTAGCGATTCCTAATTGGAAAATAAATGAGATAGTATAAGTATAGTAATTGTTATTCTTAGGAATGAAAGAAGATACTTATTATATCTTATTTTTTTTTGATATTATAACCTATATAGTTTAATTTAAAAGCATCGCATGTTCTTCTAGCAAGTAATTCGGAATGTATTTTTAAATTGTATTTATTCTTTAGAAACTCGCAAGTATATAAATCTAACTGTAAGAATATGAAATTCGATATTTATTTTATCTTTGCTGATGCAAACGTCGAAAATGACAGTTAGCCAAAGACGAAGAAAGATTGAGAGTCCAAGTATTTAAAGAAATTTATGATGTATTGTTAGTGTGTGAAATTACTCGCCTCACTGGGTTCACTGGAATAACCTTTGATAATACATTCACTGGAGAAAAGCTTGAGCATATAATGAATAATATTATCTATCTGCTATCGTACATTTTACTAGGCACTGCAACTTGGAAACTGGGCGGAATAATCCCCATAAGCCGAAAGTTTGTGGTAGAAAACGCAAAACGCAAGTCTTTAGCGACGAACTGCGCAATTTAATATTCATAACTTGCATAAAATATGTATTAAGCGACAGTCGAGGTACAGTTTGGTTCATGATAAAAAAAAAACACGTAAGTCTATGCCAGGAAACGGAACATTAAGAAAACTGAGAAACGAGCAATAAGAAGACAGCGTGTTAGCTCATTAAACCGGCCGTAGAAAAGGACCACAAGTCGATCGTTTTCGTGCAATTCGTGTCCTCGTGTAAAATAAAACAATAATGCCACTACAAGTTCATTTAAAGTGCAAACCAAATTTTTTTTCTTTTTTTTTTACTTATCAAGTTGTAAAAGGTAGATAAGAGCAGTCAGTTTAAGAGAATAAACTTGTAAAAGGAACGATAATACGTTATGTATTAAGAGGTTAAGTTAATTTCGCGTCATTAAGCTTCGAACGCGACTAATAAAACAATCGAAAACAGCTTCGATCGATTATCTTCGATTCGAAATATGAATATAATGCAAATTTAATAAAGTTTAAAAATATTTCTAATCATATTATTAATAACTAATTATCACAATAACTAATACCACGATAAATATCACAACTGAATTTTAGTATATAATAGCAATACTTTTCAATCATCTATGTAATTATTAATATATTCTGTCATGGAATATACTTATGATATATATAGATTCTTCCTTTTAAGAAGAAAATAAAAAGGATAATGTCTGTAAAAATATTCAAGAGATCAGAGCAATCAGTCGATCGATAATAATAACATCCAGCTGTTTCATTTCACCGCAATTATGAGATAGATGTTTCGCTTGAATTCGCTCGAAAAAGGATTAATTGAAGAGCACCACTCTTCAAGTGGTTCGCAAAGTAACTCGATATCGGACCGAATTTATTTTCATTCGGCTATTTCGTTTCGATTCATTCGATATATTCCCGAAGAAGGCTAGCCACCAATGGCACGAGAGTAGTATATCGCTTCGATATAAAGCTCGACCATTCGATGTATTTAACCGCGCAGACGTACTTGAACATAGTAACACATATATCGGCAATTCTTTTACCTTCTCTCGCCGTTTCGCTTTATGTATACCGCGAAAGTGCACAAGCCGCTTTACTACTCGAAAAGAAGTTCCTGCCAGGGGAAGCAAGCAACGGGAGAGCAGCACGGTGGAATCAGCCCTGTGCAACCGCCACGGGCTCAATATCTAAACAGGAAATTTCCGTGCACGCCAGAAAACGTAGTCAAAAGTGTATGCGAATCCGGCGAATGTAAAATACATAGTAAATGTACCGGAGAGATGGACTGAGGAAACTGCATATTTAAATGCGGATAAAAAGATCCTAATCCTCGGAAGAAAGGATGTCTTCACTCGGATAATATAAATAATTCTTCCGTGAAATTTGATGTAATGCAAAATGCATTTTATTAGATTATGTAATCTTCTTTCTTCTTGCCTTTTAATTTTTGCCAATATCGAATCAAATGTAGAAATTTCTAAGCTATCATATAAATTGTACATTCTATGAGGATCGATTAATAATAATTTCACTTAATTTTCTGACATTATTAATTTTAATCTAACTTTTTCTTAAATTCTTGAATTTTTTCAATATATTTCAATAATTCAAAACTACTAGTTTGTAGCGTATTGCAAATTTTTAATATAGAATGTCCCAAAAATATGGGAAATTGGAGATTCCTAAAATAATTTCAAGCAACATTTTCTTTTGGAAAATCTTTCGAAACAGTTTTATTAACGTGATATTAATAAAATTAACATATTTATTAACAAAAATTACTAGTCAATCACAAGTTCTAAACCACTCAAGCCACGATGTGTTAGTGTTGGAATATGTGCCGTCGGCCGAACACGAATAAGTCCAAGCAATATTTGTCGAAAAAAATCTATCAAATAATAAATATTTTTTTATCGAAAAAAATTATATCGAATTACATCTTATTTAAGAATTAAATGGAAAAACTCAAGAACGAATAATTATTCGTATAGAATTCTTTATTATCCTGTTCTCCTTTATCACTCTTCTCTTCTTCCCCTCCTTTATCAATTCCTCTGCTCACTCGTTTATCAATTTCACTCCCTCTTTTATTTTTATTCGTTAGAAAAATTTCTCATTCATGCCACAATTTGCTACTCATCAAATTTCTTTATTTTATAGGAATTATTTTATGATAATTAATTATTTACTTTTCTTGAATAATTTTTTTTTTATAAAAAGATATTCGTTACATTCAACAGATTTTTTTTTTCGACACATATTGCTTGGACTTATTCGTGTTCGACCAACATATCCAACTATCGTCATAGTTTGACTAGTTTAACGCACCTCGTGACTCACCAGTGATATTTTTACTCGAAGAAAATCAAATTACCTCGATTAACATGTCCTAACATTTTTTTGTATACAGAGTGAACTGGAGTTTCAACCCCCCTCCCCTGGGATTTTAATAAGATGTGAAAACAAGATCCTCCGACCTCCGCCGCGAAACCTGGCGTTAAATTTATCCGTAATGTAGCGTCAACGACGAAACGAGGATAATCTTCGACTTATTAAGAATATTCTCTCACATCCCTGCTGCCGGTTAATTCCAACTTCCACAGTTGCTTGGAAAAAAATGTTCTCATCGCTGACAGAATCACGTAACCCGGCCGAGCCACTTTTATAAAAACTCGTTTGAAAGTGTACACCTTTTGCCGGTAGGTGTGTCGAGTTTCTGGTACATACGATATCGTGGAAACTGGTTGATAGATGCACACTTCCTCGCGCTCGCTTTACGAGATACGCATTCCAGTTTTTCGCCAGGTCCGAACATAGATGGAAATGGGTTTCCAGTGTTTACAGGTCGAACCACGAGACCCAAGATCCTCGTTCCCTCGACCGAGAAATGATCATAGGTAAAATGCATGGTCCGGGCAGGCCAATTGCCGCTCAACTTCCCGCCCCTCCCTAAGGTAAGCCGGTTATTCGGGCCAAACGAACCAAATGTTAGGTTAGGTAGGGGAATATTGATGAGCGGTGTGCAGCGGGTTGGGTGAAGGAAATGCTAGCCAGCCATAGTTCGAATGTATCGTGCGCCGCCATGTTTCTGAACTGTTGCTTCTACTTTTTTTTCTCTCTCGCTCTCCCCGTATTCGTTCGCTTTTTTTCTTTTATCGATTTTTGCTCGAGTTTTGAAAGCTTCGTGATTAATAACACGTTCGGGATAAATTATAGGATAAATATAAAGAAAAGATAACGTATATATTAATGCGACAAGTGAATAGAAGATGATTGTAAATTAATTTTTTTATATAATTTTTTTACAGATGTTGTTTGAGTCTCAGAAACTTTATGATTAATTTTAATAGAATAATATATATATATATATATACATATTCTACAGGATACTGCAATTATTAAATAGTGGTAGTTAATATCTCCTTGAAAATATTAAAATGTAAAATTACAAATTACAGTTGATTCTTTGAAACGTGCATGCAGATTATCATTTAGATTTTTCATTTAAGATAAATCGTAATATTAAAATAATTATCAAGATTTGCAATATGTTTACGTGATAAATTCGTACGATAACCGATTTTAACCTTTCCTCCTTTTAATTGATCGTTATAATTATCGGATAATCAATTTCGCAGAATACACACGTGGATCATCGGCATTGAATATTTATAATATTTATAAATTTGCGCAAAAAAAAAAAAAAAAGAATGAAACAAACTAAATCAAGATTATTTTCATCTGTTATTACACTCGTCTATTACTATGTATATTATATATATATATATATGTGTATATAATGTTTGCTCTTTTCGCAGAATAATGCGAAAAAATTCCCGGGATTTGCATGCAGCCATCAACCTACACGCAATCCACGGATGCGATGTTATCACGGAGTCGCAAAAAGAAAAAATTGTTGCACCGGAATCCCATTAAAATTTTTTTATCTCGATAATGAAAACGAATACGAAGGAGGATATTCACAAAGCTATGTATGCGCATGCACTGGAAAACTTCCTGTCAAAATGGTTTTATAACCATTAATTGCTGAAATATATTAAAAGAAGAAATAAGATGTTGGAGGTAAGATTGAGAAATTAAAAAAAAATTATAAATGAGAAAATTAAAATTCATAAGTAATATTATGAACTTGCTTAATATTCAGAGATAAAATTTTGTGTTTTTAATAGGAAAAAAGGAATTGTTAAATAAAAGAAAAAAGAAAAAAACTGTTACAATAATATAACCTAAATTTGCACTGAGGGAAGAAAAATTAATTATTGATCATTACATAATGTGAATAATAAAAAAATTTACTTGGAAAAAATAAAATATTCCGTACAGCAATGGATAGAGCATGAATGATTAATAAACGAAAAAAGAAAAAACGGAGAAAGAAGAAACTTTCTTGGTAAATCTGATGGAAGCAAAGGTTAAAATAAATTGTTCGAAGGGAGAACGCGTAAGAATTTTTATAATTCCTTCAAGAACGGGTGTATCACTATTTTTTTTTTTTTTTCATTTTTTTCCGTCTGTCATCAAAATAACCGGCCATTTTTGTCGAGTTTCGCATAACTTTTCAACGTTTTTATCAACACGTTCATCAAGAATAATTATGTTATTTTTCAATGCTTGAACTCTTTTAAAATAATGTATATATTTTGTCAAAAGAATTTTGATATGTATCTAAATATTTTGTATATAAATGATCAGAATTAAAATAATATATATATATATACATATATAAATATCTGCACTTTTTCATGAATTATAAAATAACAATCTATCTAAATCTCTATCGTTCCAATGTATATCCATTAAAAAATGATTTAGAATTCAAAGAATCTTCATTTATAATTTTAACGTAAGGGAAATGAATGTATCTTTCATCAAAGAAATACCGAATGAGCCAGAATCAGGATAAATAAAAGACGTAAAGAAGTTAAACGATAAAATAAATAAGTTGCGTACTAGAAATTCTAGGTTATAATACTACTCTTTATCTTTATCTTTATCGTTTCCAGTTGGATATATCCAAATTAAAATTATTCATATATAGATGTAAGAAAAATTATCTTGTTTGTAAATATCGTACATCTCTTCATCTCAAAAAAGAAAACACCGTTGTAACATACGAAATAACATTTCACGCGTGCGGATTCGCAACAACTGTACGAAACTGAATTGATACGATCAATCGGACGCGTGCGCAGCAATCTCGCGCATGCAAAATTTATAAATCCAACATGGCGGATTCGCGTATTCCAGAGTATCCTCGAATATTACGGGCGTTGCAAAAATTTTTAATATCTTTCGATTTTTCCAATTTTAATTTTCAAATATCTTGAAAAGATTACTGTTATTCAAAAGAAAGCAGAAATTTCTCGCGTTCGAAATTTAAGGGGATTATTTTTCTCAAATCCTTCAGAGATTATCACAGAGAGCCAATTTAAAGAACATTGTGCATTTCCTTTTT